TAAGGAACTGATTATGGTGGGCTGGTAGTGTCTCAATACAGCGAATTTATAGTACAAGCCCTTTTTTGGTGGTGTTGTTATCCTTGCTGCCCTTGGTAATCTCGGTAGGCTCAAACGGAACGTAGTGCGGCTGTGACCCCGGCCGTTAGGAGTCACCGTTGCAGGGATGAAGAAATAACTAAAAGAAATCACGCAGTGCCCGAGAAAGTGACTCCTTCCTGCTCACTGATTTTCGCATTGATGCGATTCTCATCGATGCTCCCCTGCCTTCAACGCTAACGCTGTTTCCCTAATCGGTAGAGCCAGATGGAGAGGGTGGGCGTGCGCGGCGCGAGTATTTCCCCGCTAGGTCGGAGGGGTGCTCTCCGCAGCGAAATGCACATCATCCCGCCTTCCTTGGGGGACGCGCCTGCCTACCTCCATTAGGTGTGTATTTCCCCTTGTCCGACCTTATCGTGTAATCCTCTTTAAGGCCGTCTGTTTACCACTTTTCGAAACTGTTCCGCATCGCTGAGAAGGTATACAATTCTGTCAAGGGGTACCGCGATGATGTATTCGAGGATTTAACACGGGCACACCCTAGCGAGTCGGATAGTCGTCGTTGAAGCCTAGGAGGATTCACGTAATTGGTTGGTGGAGCCGTGCAGCGATTAAACTACCTAGTTTTGAGCTGTCGTTTTTGAGAATTAACCAATAACCTTCAGGGGCAAAAAGTGCAGAATCCTACGGGGCATTAATGTAAGGGAAGCACTTTCATAAGGTTAAATCTTTGATTGTGAAAAGGCAGCCCTTGATTTTGCCGCACACAATCACCATCGCCCGGAAATTTTCGATACTTGCAAACGAATCAGGAACACCAATCAATGTATACATTCTTCAGGAAGTTTCCCCGAGACCATCAAAGTATTGAATGATATTTCCAGAAGAAAATTCTTCACCCATTGTGAGCGATGTACAACCAATACCTGCAGAGAGTGATCCAGTTATCGAAGAGCAAAATTTCGATCCACTCGCTCCGGAAAGGAGGATTGCTCAGTAAGATTGTTTCAAGATTTTTGTCATGTACAATTTTTAGCCGCAGCCCACGAGTATTTGTATGCTGAATTAGGGTAAATCACTGCGGCTCAGCCGGGACGTGAACCCCGCTCGAACTTGAGCGTTTTGATACATAACACGGCATCCTTGTGTGAAGTGTGCTCTTGTATGTAATCCATCGGGTGAGAAGTCATCTTTTCGGTCATGTGCAGTTTCTAGCCGCAGACCACGAATATTTGTATGTGCTGAATTACGGGTAAAACACTTCGGCTTGGGCCAGGACGTGAACTCCCGCTCGAACTAAAGCGTTTCAGTACATAACTCAGCATCCATGTGAAAACTGTGCTCTTGGTTTCTTGTCTTTTGAACTCCTGTTCTTCACCTACGTATTTTTCACTTGTCATATTTGCTGGAGAGTTTAACAGCATGCTTTCAGCGCTCCTGTGGATCATTCGAGGCTATTATCTCCAAAAAGTAACGACAGATACTATTCCACGGATTATTATGAGCCAGTTCTTCCAAGGTATTTCTTGACGTTTATGCACCGTTATGCGCACTCACAGACATAAGTTAGAACAAAAACGTCAGACCTAGAAAAAAGTTCTTCTGGTGATGAGCAATTAGACCCGAAGAAAATGCGCATGATGGATATGATATACTGGAATCCCAAAAAGGAGAAAGCTATGACCCGACGCCACGTGGAGACAGAGTCCGTGAAGTCTGCAGTCTGTGAGGAAAAACAGTCTTCCATTGAAAAACTTAACAACAGCGGCAGTAAATCGGCAGCCCCACAGGTAATTAAAAATTTTATTAGCTACCGTTTTAGGTTTTTTTGCTCTTTCAACACATATAATATATATTCAAGGTTAATAATCTGGACCACGGCGACTTTGTGATCGACGAGAAAGTTTTTTTCTAGTTATTGCTGAACCGTTACCGATGATTCCGTTTGGGAAACCATAGACGAGGTTCGCTGATTCAAATGTTCTTTATTAAGAATTGAATGTGTAAGCCGAAAAAGCATGACAACGCTCTCCTCGGAATTCTCAAGAGGAAGGAACAAAAGTCAGTGCTCGCTCACTTTTCGTAAGCATTCTTAATTAAGGACCGAGTATCTCGAAAAGTTACTTCACTCTCGTTCCGGAATCGCCTATGGCGCAAAGGTACAACCTGGACGGAAAAGGAAACTGAGTTATTCTACGGTATTCTTTCTACTGTGTTGTAAATTTGCTTTATATCAATAATTGGTGTAGGGGGCTACTTATGGAACGATATTCAGAAATTCTTCGGTGTACGGGCCCGGACTTTGGATTGATGCACGAATTTTTTCCAACGCGAGCTCGCAATGAGCTCAAGACCAAGTTCAATCGAGAAGAGAGGAATAATTGGGAAAAACTGAAAGAGGTAGGTTTATTGCGCTTCTCGAGCATTTCTTCTTTAGTTGGACAACGCGTAACCGCAGAGCAAGTTTTTTGTGAGATTTGTCACCACCCTTTTTTTTAACACTCTAAGGTTTCGCGAAATGCTGCAAATTAAAAGGCAAACCGGGATCAGTCCAAGTAGTAGGAGCTACGCTGCGAGTGAACTTGTTGGTTCCCTATCTACAGAACTCGTGCCAGCTTCGTTGCACAAGATGCGAGGTTAGGGCGCTAATCGTTAAGGACCTGCAGCCTCGTAACGCTTCCCATGCACCGCGATTGATGTGGAGATCACCGCGCTCTCTTGTTAGGCCTGCTCACTCGCGAGTTTTGCCTTCTCTGGTCAATCTTTCTCCCCGTCATACCCCATCCGATCCTACTTAGTTTTTTGTACTTTAGGCCTTAGTTTCAGTGTTTCGATGGTTTTCCTTGTTTTCTTTTTCACTTAGTCCTTTTCGCAGTTCATCTTCCACCATAAACCGCTCCTATACACTAGGTTTAGCCAGGAGCTTGCCTTTAAGATAGTTAGACAGTTGATATATTGAGGGAGAAGGCGAGGTGATGGATGCTCAGTCGAACGGTCGCTGGGCTACACCTCTCAGACTCAGCATTCTACACCGGTCCTCATCCTAGGCAGGCGTACGCGCTGCTTTCATGTCTTTTTTCCGCAGATAATAATAGTGAAGACGTTAAAGCACAGATTTGAAGAATTATCTCGACCACCCTCATCGACACTTCATGCAAAATGCGGTTTTTTTATGAAAGTGGATTTTCCTATGCGATTTCCATAACGAAATCACATTTTTTATCAGTTTTTTTCCTATGGTCAAAGACTCGCTGCGCTATGGTCGTTGCATTGGTTTCCCTCTGAGACTTTGCCAGTTCAAACGCTGTTCGCTCTTGTTTATCTTGGCAGTATTCAAAACGATGTTGTGTGATGGACAAAATACTTTGCATTAACTGGGATTTCTATCAGATGTTTGTGCTTTCTGACAGAAATGCTGACCACTATTCATGGCGGCCATGTTTTGTCTTAACTCAGTTTTCAATGCTATATTTACCGTCGCTTCCAACATTCACGCAAATTAAATGGTGAGTCGGTTAGCCAACATGGCCCAACATTGGCAGTAACCACGAAGCTTAACAAAAACCACAGTTTTTGAATTCCTTGGATGTTCAGCTTTTGAGTTGTTTCGTTTTGGCATCTGCTTGCTTTTTGCCGCACCTCGTTCGAAGGTGGTCACAATGAAGTTGAGTTACGGAGCTTTAAAGACAATGAAAGCTTTGCAAGCCACTGCTGTCAGCTTTGTTGCTCCCAGCATCACCTAACCGCTCATTAAGCTATATGTTGTGAGTACTGGCAAGCTGTGCTAAATGTACCATTTAAAGTTAAGGTGAAACATGGTCTCCTTTTTGCTACAACGCATTAGCCGAAGCGCAAGGTAA